GGCATTTTACGCAAAACCACTGATTGGCCAGACGAACCGGCCGGCTGTTGGTCGAGAATTTACGGCTATCGCGGCCTTGCGTCAAATCAGATTCTGCACAGCCCCAACGAGGCCTGAAGGCCGTGTCCGTCTGTCAGCGACCGGATGTCTGCCCCTTCCGTCCGGTCCGCGTGCTGTCTAGGCGTGGCTCGTCGCGACGGCCTGCCGAGGCGGACGGCGAGAGAGAGACAGAGACAGAGACGCGTACACGCGGCGCCGCAAGAGGCAGCACCAAACTGTGCCCTCGCCAGATGACCATGCCCGCCCGTGGACTACTGGGCCTGCGAGCGTCAGCGGCATGCTGGCCCGGCGCAAAAGGCGATCACGCAGAGCAGCACCTCTTGAGCCAGGCTGCCTGTGACTTGGTTCACTGACCAAAGGTGGTGAGATAGAGCAAGAGAGAGCAATAAGGATATCGACCCGCTGCGCCTATTTCTCCTGGACTGCCTTGCCGATAGGATTTTACCCTTCAACCGGCTCCGCCGTGCCGCCTGCTCTCAGCCGTCGGTTCGCAGGCTTCGAGGCCGCCCCTCGCGCGCGCCGCCGCGGTGGCATGCCGCTGCTCCCAATCCGGAGGCCCATTCCGACACGACCGTTCTGCCCAGCTGCCCGGCCCCGCTCGGCCCCGCTCGGCCCTGCTCGGCCCGGCCTGTGCTGATGCCAGAGCGTCGCTCGACTAGTGGCCAGTGCAGCAGCGCAGCGATCGATCGGACCGGTGGCGTCGAGCCGGCGGCCAGTAGAGTGTCGGCCGGATAGACGCCGGCCGGCAGGCGAGAGGTGAGCTGGACCGCTTGAAAAGCGTTATTTTTGCCCTCGTTCGAATGCCGGACATATTTTCTGTTGGAGGCAATAAAAGAGACAGCAATCTGGTGCAATTGCATATCACCTCAATTTAAGCAAGATGAGTCGGATTCTTAGTCAAAGTTTGTCGAATAGTTAAGACTTATTCTAACTCATCGGGAAGTAGTATAATTGATCGCAGTTGAAAATACAAGTGAGCACTTAATTCCGATATGAGTAGCATCTGAGATTATCAGCAAATTGTGAAAATGAGCTTATATTTGGTTTAAGGTGACGATTCTCATTCACTGATAGTTTAGTGGTTAACGCGTCGAGATTATACGCTGCAATATCATTGAGTCCCGGTTAGCGTGTTAATGAGACCAGTTCTAGCGAGTTCGAAACTACAGTCCAACTCAGAATTTTCCCACAATGATATGAGTTGAGCTGACGTTTCCATTGAATTTCCCAAAATTTGTTCTCATCCAGGGTGGACTGCAGTTTCGACCTCGCATTGGTCTTATCAACACCCTC